TTAGCTCAAAAAGTGGACAAAAAATGCATCGGAAGAAAAGTTTTAAGATAGTGTTGAAATTCCACAGGGACTCAAAAGTTCATTGCAGTGCCACCGTGACTAAATAAATTCAACTCAAGGGGGACTCAAAACTTTAAAAATATATAGCTATTGCTTACCTACTAAAAATGGTAAATGAGGCTTTTTGGGACACCCCCGAGTCGAGATTTTTCACCTAATTTGAAGCAAGATTTGAGCGGTTTGAGCGTTTTTTTTTTAGACAATTACGCTCAAAATCGTGCTCCATAATGAGCGGTTTGAGCGGTTTTTGAAGGGTTTATCCAAAAAAACCGCTCAAAAACCGCGCAAGATTTGAACGGTTTTGAGCGGTTTTTGAGCGTTTTTTTTAGATAAACTCTTCAAAAACCGCTCAAACCGCTCATTTCAAAGCAAGATTTTGAGCGTAATCCGCTCAAACCGCTCAAACTGCTCAAACCGCTCAAACCATAATGAATTTTAAAAAATTTATAAATTTACTTGATTGACGCCCGATTGATACTTGAGTGATACTTGAATGATATTTGAATCAAACTTGAATGATACTTTAATGATACGTGGATGATACTTGAATGATGCTTGATTGATACTTGAGTGATACTTGATTGACACCCGGGGCGAGGTGCTTACTTTATTATATGGAAATTGTATGATAACCATTTGTTTTAGCTTCAAACTAAATTTTGGATTTTGATGAGCAAGGTGACTTAAATTGAGCAAAAGCACTCTTAATTACTTTAAATTTGATTACAAACACGTTTAAACATGTTTCTGAAAATGTTGCCTTTTTTGAAAAAACGGTTATCATACAATTTTCATACATAGAAATTGTATGATAACCATTTTTTAGCTTCAAACTAATTTTTTGTTTTTTGATGATCAAGGTGCTTTAAATTGAGCAAAAGCACTCTTAATTACTTTAAACTTGATTAAAAACAAGTTTTTACATGTTTCTGAAAATCTTGCCTTTTATGAAAAAATGGTTGTCATACATTTTTCATACATGGAAATTGTATGATAACCATTTCATCCAAAAAAATAAACGAAGTTATTTTTCATCACCAGACTGTTTTATTTGGTTCAAATAGCCGGGGAAACTAGATTGAATCTTTTTTTTCTAGTTTATTGAAATTGTATGAAAAATGTATGATGAGCATTTTCCATACATTTGATGTAGGCAACTGTATGATAAGCATTTTCGGTGTGGGTATATGTAATATAAGCATTTTCGGTTTATGGAGGTCAACCCGTGTTGTAGATACTATTTCAACTGCATCTTAGCGTCACATTACATTTCCAGGCTTTTTTCTTGGTTGAAATCAGTTTTATTTATAAGACCGCTCAAAAACTGCTTTAAAACCGCTCAAATCTTGCTTGAAAATCCGTTCAAAAATCACCACAAAAAATGAGCGGTTTTTGAGCGGTTTCTTAAGCAATTTTTGAGCGGTTTGAGCGGTTTTTCCAAAAAACCGCCAAAACCGCTCAAATCTTGCAGGAGAACCGCTCAAACCGCTCATATTTTGAGCGGTTTCTGAGCGGGATCTCGACCCGGGCCTCAATTTCTCCATACTCTCCAATTCTAGATTAATTTAAAAAAAAAACCTTCAAATCTTGGATCATTTAGTGTATTTGTTCGATTTTGCATAAGTGGAAAGTTGGGAACAAGGTACAAAAATTCGAATAGCATAACTGTCTAATTGTTTCTTAATAAGGGTATCTTTTACTAAGTATTATAGGGGGGAGGGGTAGTTATCAACAACCAAAATCTGAATAGAATTTAAAATATTTCTAGTGGACGAGACCGTATACTTTAAAACCCCGCAAAAAAAGTGACAATAATGTAATTCGCAGCGCACACAGACATTACCAGGCCAAACTGTGCATTCTGTGCATTGTATGCGGTTTCCGCAACAGGCAAAAAACAGAATTGTCGCGGAATTCGTAACATTGCTCTTTCGTTTCTTTGATCTTCTGATTCGTTTCTTTGATCTGGAATTCGTTTATTTGATCTTCTTTGCTGTTTTGGATTCCACAAACAAACTCCTAAAACACTGTACTTTTCGAAATCGCTCCAAAAATAGGCGAAATTGCGGAATCCAGAACAATTTGAGGAATCCACAAACAAAGACATGCGTATAATTGAATTGAGCTGTTGCGGAATCCGCAACTGTAAGCGGAATCCGCAAACTGTAAGTGGAATCCGCAAAATGTAAGTGGAATCCACATTTTGTTCGCGGATTCCGTTTACGTATAAGTATGTGTAGTAGCGTTTGAAATTATAGCTTTTAGAATATACATTTCCTTGTGAATAAGACATTCAGAGCTCTAAATTTGGTTCAAAATTGTGAGTTAGCTATTCAGAAAGATTTGAATAGCTAAATCATGATGTCACTCTGTGATCTCATCCCAAAAACTATCTTCATAAAAGGAATTCACGCTCCCAAATACTGAATCTCAAATACTGAAACTTAAAAACTGAATCTCAAATACTGAATCTCAAATACTGAATTAATTCGGCGATATTTCTTCAGGACTCCGTCATCTCATCCCAAAACCTATTTTCATGATTTGAATTCACGCTCCCAAATACTGAATCTCAGATACAAATTCCCAATTACTGAATCTCAAATACTGTATCCCAAATACTGACCTAGTTCGGCGAGGCGATATGTCAACCCAATAATGAATCCCAATTATCGAAATAATTGACCCAATTACCGAATTAACCGATTGAATTTATTCGGTGTTGTGATTCCGAAACTATGATCCCAAAAACTGCTTGCAAATACAAAAGTGTGACATCTATCGATTTAATTAACCAATGTTTTAAGATTTGTTCGTGGATTACGCTGACAATGGTTAAGTCCTTGCTTTTAAATTCCGCAAGTGCATATGCAAGTTCAGTAATAAACAAATTTCTGAGTTCCTTTACAGTTGGCGGAATCTGCTTACATTTGCGGATTTTACTTACATTTTGCGGAATCCACTTACAGTTGCGGAATCCAGAACAACTAGCTATATTTGCTTGTTGCGGAATCCGCAACAAAATAAATGTGCCGACAAAATTTACGTTACAAGTATATGTACGCGGAATCCACGTACATCTTGTAAGTGGAATCCACTTACATTTTGGAACATGTTTAAATGCTTGTCAGTGGAATCCAGGAACATACAGACACAAAATTGTGCCCCTATTCAGTGCACAGTTTGGCCTCGTAATGGATTTTGTTTTCTTTGCTCAAGATGGGAAAAAGCTATGACATAGTTTTTAATGCAATTTTAGGTACCTTGAAGAAATCTAGCAAACAGACATGCCACATTAAAGTCCAATTGATTGTGCTTTCCAACTAATTTTTTTTTGAAAATTAAGGTGACTCTGAACATTGTCAAAGTTTACAAGATAGCATAGCTCAAACGTAAAAAAAATTTCTAGGAATTTTGCGCACACTTTCAATTGTTTTATTGGTGTAACTTTTTTAACGCATCATTCTCAACTTTGGGGCATCACACCTATACTGGTATGACGCAAAAAGAAATTGGTTCAAAATAATTTCAAATTGAATTGAGGCAAGCTAATTGCTCGTCGTAAATTATTGCTCCAAGTGAGTTGCTCCAAGTTAATTATACTGAAAATACATCAATTCAGCTCAAAATCAGGAAATACTCAATTTATTTTTGCGATTGACAATTTATTTTTGCCATTTCTCAAAAAATATATCATATAAAATTCTATAATCAAGCCGACCCTTGACTGTTCAATGTGAGCTAGGAACATTAACAGTGTGGCATTGATACGAGCAGTCTGGTTCGTCGTTCTGATATCCTTGATTTACAACGCCTGTACAGATAATACTAATGGGTTTGTCTGGGAAGTTTTCTGTGGTCAATTCATTCGGCTGATTTTCTGTGGTCGATTCTTCGTTTTTCCTTTCAATCCTTCTTGTCAATTGTGGCGTTGAGCTTGAAGTCGTAATATTACGATGAAGTCGACCAAGGTTTAAGAAATTGGGTACCGACATTTCACTTGCGTCGTATTTATGTTCAACAGAACAGACCGATTTGATATTTTTCAAAGTTCTTTTGGCAAGTAATTTGCATTTTTTCACTATATTTCGACCGGCTGAGTCGTAAGGTTCCAGAGATCTTAAAAACTCTGGTAGAAAATTGAAATTTTGAAGTTTTTCATGAAGAATTTGCGGCGTAAAACGTTGCATTAATTGAAGTATTAGCACACTGAATATCAGTAATGAACTTGAAATGCAAAAAGTTCCTAAGTAGAGAAACCCAGTTAAATACAAAGCAAAAATAATGCCTGGTAAAAATATAAAAAGAAAAAGAATGTAAGCAAATGAAAACCATCTATATCTGCGCGCCGTTTTTCCCAAACGCTTTGCAGCTCTTAAAGGAATTTTGCGCAATATTGGAACCGGGTACCAAATAAAAACACCTATGAGGTTGAAAAGTAGATGACACAAACTGATAAGCAGAGCTTGCTCGAAGTTCTGGTCGCTAGCAAGAGATACTAAAAATCCGGTGACTGTTGTTCCGATATTGGCTCCAAGAGTCATTGGAAAAGCTCTCTCGATACTAACTATGTTCAACCCTACCAACGGAGTCAAAGCGCAGGTGAAAATTGAGCTGCTCTGAACCATTATTGTCATTAAAGCTCCGATAACGATAGCAACGTAACCAATAAGAAAGTCGAGGCGTGAGAACATGCCAGGGAATCCCAAGTTCAAAAATTTGTTCACAACGCCGTTAATTTTACCTGCAAATATAGAACTGAGGAAATGAACCATTAGAAAAAGGCTGAGTAAAATGGTCACAAAAGATATCGCAAGTAATAAAACACCCGCCCATTTATCCGAATGGGGCCAGTGACAGAAAATTGCGTAACATGTTTCTCGCGGTGCAAAATCTGACATATTTAAGGTCGAGTTGGAACTTTTGTTAACAAAACCCACCCAATCACTCCAGCTCTCCGCGTAGATTTGCAACACACGTTCATTTTTGTTAATTATACCACTTGTAGAAATCTGTTCGATGATCGTTCTGTTGACCAGGATGATTCGGCTGATTATAGGATTCGTCAGGCGAGACAGAATCTTCAACTCGACATCGTGGCTTCGGATATCGTGAAGCTGTTCGGCTATGATTTCCGAGAGCCGACTCAAAAATTGAGTAATGCTTTCAAGTGGAAGAATCACGACAACAGACAAGACATTAAACATGTCGTGCATGGTAGCAGCCGCAAACGCCCGTTCGTAAACTTCAGCATCATCGATTTGACCAATGGCAATGATTGTACTTGTCAATGATGTACCAATATTAGCTCCCATTATGATGGGAACGGCTGTTTTTACACTCAATATTTCAGAAGCTACCATCGTGGTTATTAACGAGGTGGTTGTCGAAGAGGATTGCAAAAGAACAGTCACTATACAGCCAGCTACTAAACCCGCGATTGGGTTATTAATAATATGACCCTGTCCAAATATTTGACCCGCTCTTTTTCCAGCAAGAAGTTTGAAAGCCAGAGCCATGAAGTCTAGAGACAAAATAAATATGTAAAGAAGAAATAAAACAATGAAAACTCGAATAATGATTGATAACTTTGACAGTTTTTTCCTTGAATTGCTTTGTGACGCTGACGGTGAATCCAAATGACCTTCGATTGAATCAATAGCGGTTTCTGCAGTTTCAATCTCGTTTTCCATGTTTCAGTTTTGTAATAATTGTAGAATCAAAAAGTAGATTTCTTCTGCGCTGTCGTCACTATGATCTAAACATAAGTGAAATAAGAAAAACCTTAAAACCTTATAATATTTGAAAAACCTTAACGCACGCCTAACTATCGTAACCAGTGGAGTATTTAAAGTCCATCAGGGAAAAAACAGGTCAAAAGTTTCCACGAAGGAACTGTTGAAAGCGGCATCTTTGACATTTTCAAGAAAATTGACTTTAAGTGCCGAAAGATTTGACAGAACAGGTGTCTTAACGAGACATCAGAAAACAAATTAGTAGATTTCAATAAAATCTGACAAACTAAAAACTCCTCCAAGAGTTTTTTATCCACCTCTAACCATTATTGATAACAAACGGAAAACAGTTACTCATTTCCGCGGATCAATAATGATTTTGGTTTAATGAAAACCTGGGTACCCAAATTTGTAGACTTTTTTCTAAAGCTTATTTTGGGTTTCATAATTAGAAAAACGAATCAAAACTTTATTTTTATTTGTTTTAACCCTTACAGTTGCAGATTCAAGCACGGATAGTCGGTTATTGGGCAAGTAGCACAGAATGTTCTGACCATAGTCTATAAAAACGACAACATTTATTTTCTTCAAATTATCTTTTTTGAGCGTGGTGTGATAAAAGGATCTGAACGGAAGACTAAACTTTTGGGGCATTTTTGATACTCATAGTAAAATTGACATAA